GGAAGAAATTTCTGAATAGTGTTTTTTAATTAGAGGCGTTGTGGTAGAGTTCTTACAATTTCAATCGCGAGTGTAGAAAACTTTGGCCGGTTCGCTTGTTTGGCCGGTTCGCTATATATGCACGTTAGTAATAATCGATATTATATCAGATATTATTAAAAAACTAATATTATATTATTAATATATTTATAATATAATATTAATCGTAGAACCTCCGATATAGAAACGTCTCTATTGTGCCTAGGTCTACGTCTGAAACCAAGATAATATAAAACAAACTTCACTTATAAGGATTTTATTTTTTTATATACTCCGAGGCTAGCTACCTATTACGTATATAAAATACCTTCTATATTTATTACGTTCATTTATTCATTCATTTCTTAATATCGCTCGCTTTCTTGAACTATATACATTAAACAAACAACTAAATTTGCTCGCTCGACTACCTATGTATGCCACTGTATCATGATACTGTATTAATCCAAGGAAGAAGCCCTGGGCTACAGAAAACCAGGAAGCCCAATCCAACCCAACCTGCAGACTCCTCATAGACTGAACCCACTCACTTATGCCAAGTAAACATAAGTCCCAGTATCCTCATCGCGCTCAATATAATCTTTCTCGATCAACTCTGTTGCTCACGAGTTAGTACGCTTTCCAATACACAAAAGCTCCATCTCCCCTCTAAGTTTTCACCACCAATCCAACCCCACAAACCACACCAGATAATCAAAAAGGGAAAAGAAAAGAAAATAGACGGGAAAACTCACTCTCGATATTCTTCTTAATCTCACTCATCTCCACCGCCCCCCTCATCTTCGTCTGCTCCACAACCTCAACCGTCAATCTCGCATGCGTAATCCTCTTCTTCGTCTTCATAATTCGCACAATAGCCGCTTGAGTCTCATACTGTCGGTCCTGATGAACCCTCTCATGCGTCTCCTTATTCTCCTCCTTCGTCTCCTTCAACTGAATCTGATTGATCTTGATGCGAATCTTGGGGTCTGTGAAGCGCGTATTGACTGTAAAGGTATCCGTATGCAGGACATCTCGACCCTTGGGGTGTTTGGTGAGAACACGAAATTTGCCGCAGGCGAGGGACTGCAAGGTTCGCTCGAGCTCGGCGTCAATGAGCCCGGTATAGGTTTGTATGTTATTGTAGGAGAGGTTCTCGCCTTCGCGAAGGTCATTGAAGAGAACGAGGACGATGGCTTGGAAGGCTGAAACAAGAAGTTCTTTGGGGGCGCCTTTATCGAATTGTGCACGTACTACGCTGTGAGCTAATGAATGCTTCCAGGTAAGTCGGCGACCTGTATGTTTCTTTTGGTAATACATATCGTATTTTTCGATATGTTTTGCCACTTCGGCGGGGAGGTTGATTTTAACATCTGGATACGATGGCCACGCTGCGGCGGAGAGAACATTGACTTGGAGATCCAGTGTAGTTTTGCTGGTATTGGACAGTGATTGTTTGTAGGCGACCATTTCGTCCTTCGCAATTTCTTGGTCTTTGAACATCTGTTCAAGATTGTGGGTAAATTGATATCCACATTCTCCCTTTAGCTTGGCAAGCATATTTCGTTCTGCATCCTGACTTGCACTTCGGGCCATCAGTAGTCGTCGAGCAAGATCCTTTTTATAGAAAGCTTCGAAAACATCCTTGCCTTGGATAAATCTGAACAACTCCAGACCCTGTTCTAATGCACGGTCAAGTTCAGCATCTTGGTCACCAGAACTTGCAGTGCCCTGTTTCTCTGCAGCATCTCGATCTTTCGCATCCGATTGGAGAGAGCGAGGAATTGCCTTTTCACCCCCACGAAGTAGCATGTCGATATATTTAGCAATCATCTCACCCACCTTGGAATTATTCGTTCCCCAAGCAGTGGTATTCTTTGAATCGTTGATAAAGTTGCCAAAAGCTTCTCGAAGGCTATAGGTGAATGCTGCATCTTCTGAAAATGCATCACGTATGATGAGGCCGAGAGATCTCTTCAACTCAAGAAGTCGGACTACCATATCATCCACCTTTTCCTTTTCACGAACAATCGAGGAACCGGCCTTTTTGATATGTGCTTCAAATGGCTTTTTCAGCTCTTGCTGTATACCCGAAAGCTTCAGCAAATCATATAAAGTCTTTAATGTACTAGTGTCGTTTTCTTCGATGAGATTTGAGAGACTTGTCTGGTCGAGGAGTACTTCCGAACGCTTCTTGATAAGAAGGTTGTGGCATGTATCCAGGAGTTCCCGCTTTGTCGTACTATCAAAATTATATGTGTCGCAGCGTATCGCCTCTTTCTCCAGAAACTGATCAACAGCAGCCACGTAACTTTTCACACCCTGATGGCTCTTACTTTCCGCGAAGTCTAGACAATAATTATGTCCGGCAACAACGAAATTTCGATGGAAGGCCTCTCCGAAAATGCCAAACACGCGAAGCATCAGGATTGTTTCCTTCAAGAGGGTTGAATCAAACAGGTCCGATTTTCCGTCCCGGTCGTAATCTACAAGCTCACAGACTCCCGATACAACTCTTCCTCCTAGGAACTGTCCCTCGGTGATCCCCAGACTTTTTTGCCATATCGTCTTTTTGTATTGATTTATGCCTTGTTCCTCCAACTGGGAAAGTTCCTTCGAATTCAAAAGGTAGGATTGATTTAAGTAACTGAAAATGGATCGTAGTAGCGTCTGTCACCAACCATTAGCAACCCAAGCTAATCTACAGGCAAACGGAAATTGGTAACTCACAGCCTGATTGTTCCAAACAACCCAATGTCTATAAACAGTTCTAAGTGCACCCACCCTCGTAGTACCCGCCTCGGTCTCAATGATTGGCAGCAAGGTCTTCTCCAAATAATTCTTGCATCGTTCCTTCAAATGCCGCGCCAGATTTTCAGCCAACCCGTGTCGACAGGTAGCTTCCACGCCTCTGCACAGGACCTCCAACGGACTCTTCGGCTGCTGCCCACTAAAAACCGCCGTGATGGCAGCATCCAACTCCTCCCACGTCTTCTTGTAATACTTTTCCACGTCCTCCCTCTTGCCCTCCCTCAGATTCTTGATCACCAACCTCTTCGCGCCCGAATGCGGCTGGAAATCGGACACCCGTTCACTGGTCAGATCAATGACCTTGGGTTGCAACATCCGGCCCATAATCTTCGACATATCGACCTTTTCTTGAAGCGCTTGCGAGCTATGAAGGTTGTCCAAGGTGTGCGAGATCTTCTGACGTTTCGCGGCGACGGATTGGGGATAGAGTTGTCCTTCGAGGGGCGGAGAGGAGGAAGAGTTTCGTGATGATGAGGAACTCCCTCCTTCTTCGCCGGGGAGTAGCTTGCGTTTGGGTCGGAAGGGGTTGTATTTGTAGGAAGAGCCGAGTTGGGGCGGCATTGACGTTGGACTAGCTCGTAGTCGTAGGAAGCTTTAGGTGTAAGTCCGGGTGTCTCGTTCGTGGTTGGTGGGGTAGGAGCTGTGCTCTGCACTCCCTGGGAGTGGTGACGCGGGTACTTCGAGGCTTGGTACTCGTATGCTATGGGGAAGGGAAGGGTAGGTAGGAAGGGTATGCCAGACACAACGCGACGACCTGGACCGTCCGATCTGCTGCTCCTCTCTCGGCGTGGCACAGACAGGTGGCAATGCAGTCAATCGCTCTCAAGGCAAGTACTCCGTACTTTCGCTCAGATGGTGATGCAGACACAAGAATTTCGAGATGAGGGGTACATGAGTTTTGTGAGAGACTGCGAGTTGGCATTCGTTGGGGAAGTTCTGTCAAATGCGGTACAATGACACTGCATCCCATCTCCTTGACGGCTGGCGATAACATTTCCTTATCGCCGAGCCGACCGACAGGGGGTTGGTGGTTGATGGTCGATCCATTGGTGGGATGAGATATCACTTCTCATATCTTCTCCTTTTTGAGCCTCACTTCGGACTACACCTCTTCCTGGAACGGATGACTTTTCGCTATTTTGGCCTTTTGTTATCTCTTTTGGAAAAGAGCCATCTTGATTCTTATTCGTGGCTTCCCTACAACTGGAAATACTCTGATGGAGACTTTGAAGAGCGGATCAGAATTGAACTATAAATGAAAGAGGTGGGCAATAACTCCTATTTCCGTAACGCTTGATTGCAGAGAGGATAATATGGTCAGAAAAGGGTGCTAAATCAGAAACTAAAACATCTCATGAAGAAACACATCCCAGTATCTCAATCCTATATCTCGCTTAACTATGCCATTCCCACTTCCAATCTGTTGTACATCCAAAACCTACAAAATTCCATTCAACTGCTGAAGTTATATAAGCGATTATGTTACCTGTGCTGGCTTTTACTATAATAACCTTCATAGTGTATACGAAGTAATGGCTAGTTATTTAGCAACGTCTGGCTGCTTATCGTACCTCGCCCCTGTTCCTAGAGCTACCTCTATCTCATGTTTGCGAGTTAGACCAACTTCTTGAGCCTTACGGTATGAGACGCAGACTTGAGGCTCTTGGACTCCCTCTATGCTCTTTTATTTCACAGATGATTCTGGGCTTTCCATTGTTTATAAGAGATTTGCACTCAACCTTCTAGCCTTTTGGTATTTCTTGTTTGAGGAAGTGCTTGTGGGAGAGGAAGGAAGAATTTTAATGACGATTATTTCAAGTAATCTTCTTTGGGAACATGACATGGAGTGTCAGTCTCTATATTCAGTGAGTGAGTTATCTCATTTCCCACAATCTCGAAGCTCGTATCTGGTAATCAAAGGTGGTACAACAACCCGTCATCTCGATGTTTTATACATTCCGCATTTCGTCATGGTGCGTTGAATTGAGCAAACATTCTTCAGAATACGAGGTTTTCAGTTGCCTTGGGGATTGATTTCGACGACATCAAGGCTGTATTCACGAATAATCGATGGTTTCTTCTGCAACGGAAATTGCTCAAGTAATTAGGATATACTCATAGCCCGCCCTATTCAAGGACCCCAAGACTCGCGGTACATTGTCGAGATAGAAATTTGATTCAATCCATTGCACCGCCTCACTTTCCTTGCCTCTGCCTTGCTTCTGTTCCAAAGCAGTGAATGTTGTCAACCCCTCAGCAGCCCGTCGTCAGCGAGGCTGTGTAAATACCAACCAACTTCAAATTCCGTCTCAAGTCGCAACCATCGACAAGCTCTTCTGAGCAGCATCTCACGACGTAATCAATTGACAGAAACATTACAGCCCCTGAACAATCTGCTCTCAGCGACGTGGAGAGAGAGGCACTCGACCAAAGACAAGGAGTAGGCGACTCGATACTTGAATATGGCTGCTGGATAGTGTCCTGATGACGCAAAATGGTGAGTTTGACCTTCATTATTTCGGTTTTGAAGAATCATCTTTAATTCTCCTGGAAGATGTGACTTTAGCTTCACAATCGCAGTCATTTGGTCTTCCTATCTACTGTTCTCCTCCCTTGCCTCATTTCCTCTTATCTTCCCGTCCCACGAACATCAACCTCTACTGACGATTCATCTAGGTGGGCATGCAGTGTGCAAAACCCAACGTTCTTCGGCTGCTGCACCAGCGACCCGTGCAATGGCGTCGGCTGTCCCCACGATGATCTCCGCCCAATGAGGCTCTCTTCCAGTGGCGAGTCAATGTCATCCAATTCCTCCTGCAAGGCTGGCGGCGAGTGGTGGGAGTGCCAACTGTCAGTTCCTACCTTCCAAGGCTGTTGTACGGTTAATCCTTGCAACAGCAACGGTAGATGCTCCCAAGACGATTTGAGACCAGCGAGTTTTGCATCGACTGGAAAGGATGATGACGATAAGAGTCCTGCAAGCAAAGGCCCTTCAACTACCATCTACACTACCGGTGTTGTATCGATTGTCTCCGAGGGTGGTGCAAATGCACGCCCGACAACCATACTCGTCACCACGACAGCTTCCTCGAACCCATCTACCATCACGACATCCGTCACTCCCCAAATCCCACAAGATACTCATCACAATCCCGGAATGGTAGCAGGTATCGCGGTTGGTGCCGTCGCTGGAGTCTTACTTCTCGTTGGAGCCATTGCTGGAATTACGAAATGGAGACAGAAGCGCAGACGTGAGAGAGTTGGATATCCAAGACTGAGTGGCGGACCTGGTGATTTGGGGGGTAATGTTGATGTTTCAGGAGCGAAGAGTGGAAGTGGTGGTGTTATGGATGATGCTGGTAAGTTTCTGCTTTCTCTTTGAAATGTGAGGTGTTGAAGGATATGACTGATGTTTTAAGATAGACCCGGAGAGTAACCATCGTGCTGATGTGGACAAACTTTAAAGGCCTGGTTGAGATACGGTCCGGCAGTACTTTCGAGGCGGATGGGGAGAGAAGTGTATGTGAAGTGTGGTGGTGGAGACAAAAGTTACGATCGTTTGGCATTTTTATTCGTTGACACATTCATTTCTCTAGCGGAAGTTTTGGCTTTCTTGGAGGAAGTTTTTCATACCGATTTGCTCATTCACATAAGGGGAGTCTGAGACTCATGATTCATAACATAGGACCTTCGTTTCTAAGGATTGCTGGAGAGAATATCAGAGCAATGAGTGGTAGCTCGGTGTATGGGTGAGAAAGGCTCCGCAGGATTGTAGTTAGGAAATGTCATTTTGGACGAATTGATGATTGTTTCTTTGTCTTCGTTCCTACGGATGCTATTTATCTGCTGATAACCACCTCCGCCGCAAGTTATCATTATATCGATACAGACCATATCAATGTATGAACATGGTTTCACAACCTGCAGAAATCAAGCTAAAGATTCCGATTTTTATTTATCATTCACTCCATTATTTTGTTACATCAACTCATCTTCGAGTTGCACACATCTCAGGTGGTTTCTATAATTTGAATTGATTGGGAGAACTCAAAAGCGGAGAAACTTTGGATTCTACCAAAAAGCCACTTCAAAACAGGAAAGTCAATCACTGTAGCTTGAAATAGCTTTGCTGGGAACAGCGTTGCTAAAGAAGGATCCTGAGTATTTGCCGATACCATAAAGAGATTATAGAATGGAGGTAATCTCATAGGATGAACTTCGCTAGTGTGACTAGCGATGTTTGGTAGGGCTTCAGTCTCAGACTTTCCCTGATAGATATCGGTGTTTCGATGCTGCAAACATTTACTGCGGGATTGGATATCCCCTGCCGCATACCACATACAGAGTGCTTTTTCCCAGACCCAACTTAAGGACTGTAAGAAATATGTTCTTGAAGCGGCAATTCCATATTAGTCGGATCTGCTCAAGAGGTTAGCGGCGACATCAACAGTCTCAATAGTAACAGGTTAAGAAGTGAAGGAAAGTAAGAATACACACTCTTTTAGAATACTACTAGTAGCCCAAGTACTACTTATCCCTACAAAACAAAGAAGATTACCATCGTTATATTTGAGTACTGTTATCCTCCATGAGACGATACACCTACTCGTAGCAAACACTATACTTAGACCTTCCGTCGCTAGGTTTACTAAAAGCTCCCTTGTTACCTTGAATATTTATAGGTATATCGAGCTAACCTATAGTCTAGTAACTACTAGAAGGTAAGGGTATATAAGTTAAGAATCTTAAAATATCGAATCTATTATCTACTAGAAGTAAACAGAGCTTAATAATTATTATTAAAATAAATAAACATACTTTTTAATTAGAATCTACTTATATATTTAATTAAATAGACTTAAATAGATAAATTATAAATAGAAAGCTATAGATAATATAGGTACTATTAGCTAAGGTATTATTTTGTATACTATAATGAATTATAATATATGATACTTCTAGTTTAATAAAGCTATTTATAATTAATTAAATTTAAAGAAATATTAAAGTATAATTTTAGAACTTTTATTTAAATATAATTATTCTAGGATAATATCGTAATATATCAACTAAACGCCTTATTAGATAATAGCTAAATCTGTCCTTTTTCTAGATAGTAAAAATTTAAATGTATTATTTAGATTCTTTTAGAAAATTAGATTTTATAACTTAGAAATAACGTGGTTTATCAGCGAGTCGATCATATCAGCGAGTCGATCACTTTTCCTTGGCACTACCTCCTCAAACTTCAACACACGTTTTCTTCAACTATTTACCATGGAAATTCAAACTCAAGAAGCGCGAATTACTCTAGCTATCGAGGCTATTCGGTCGTCCAAAAAACTAAGCAAACGCTCTGCGGCAAAGATCTACAATGTACCATATACGACTCTTTCCGACAGAATGGCTGGCCGAACCTACCGCCCAGATTCTCAAGCCAATTGTCATAAGTTGACTGAGTTAGAAGAGGAAGTGATTATTCGGTATATACTGGATATGGATTCCAGAGGATTTGCGCCCCGGCTCGCTGGTGTAGAAGATATGGCTAATTTTATCCTTGAATCGCGGGGGGGAAGACGCGTCGGCAAGCTCTGGGCCCATCGATTCGTACAACGACAACCAGACCTTAAGACGCGTTTTAATCGCGTTTACGACTTCCAGAGGGCCTTATGCGAAGATCCTGACGTGCTAGGCGCATGGTTCCGGCTAGTAGAGAATATGAGGGCGAAATATGGGGTTACAGACTCCGACTTCTACAACTTCGACGAGACAGGCTTTATGATGGGTGTTATTTGTCCTAGAATGGTTGTTACTCGTGCAGACCGACGTGGTAGAGGCAAGGCAGTTCAGCCAGGCAATCGGGAATGGGCTACAGCAATTGCCTGTATTAATGGGGAGGGCTGGAGTATTCCTCCATTCTTGGTAGTTCAGGGCAAGAACCATCTCTCCAACTGGTATACCGACGGCGGCCTCCCACCTAACTGGGTTATGAAACCGACAAGCAATGGTTGGACAAATAATGAAACAGGCCTGGAATGGTTAAAGCACTTTGATAAACACACTACAGCTCGTGCAAAGGGTCTGTATCGAATACTAGTTTTGGATGGGCACGAGAGTCATGAATCGGCTGAGTTCCAAGACTACTGTACGAAACACAACATTATTACTCTTGGACTACCTCCTCATTCATCCCATCTAACCCAGCCACTTGATGTTGGGTGCTATAGTGTGTTAAAACGAGCGTATGGTCGGCAGATTGAGACGTTTATCAAGGCCCATATCAACCATATTACAAAGGTTGAGTTCTTTCTAGCCTTTACAGCAGCATACAAGGAAACAATGACAGTCCTAAACTGTCAGTCTGGATTCCGCGGAGCTGGCCTAGTACCATTTAACCCGCAAGCAGTGCTTTCAAAGCTTGACGTAAGGTTACGGACTCCAACTCCCCCTCGGACGTGTAGTGCCAACTCCCTCCCCTGGGTGTCCCAGACCCCTTCCAACCCAACTGAAGCCCTTTCACAATCAACTCTTGTACGAAATCGTATAGCCTGTCATCAAGGAAGCTCGCCAACTCCACTTTTTCAAACAGTTGCTGCGTTAGCAAAGGGTACAGAGCGAATGGCACATGAGATGACCCTTTTGTCTGCTGAGGTCCGTACCCTTCGCGCTGCAAATGAAGCCCTAAGTAAACGCCGTAGGGCTAAAAAGACTCGTGTCCGCCAAGGAGGGGCACTTATAGTAGAGGATGTACAGGATATGTTAGCTCAGGAGGATGTAGATGAGCAAGTACGACGCGACATGCGTGAGGCGGGGGTTGGTTATAAGGAGGGGCAACCTTCTAGGCGGCGCTGTAGAACTTGTGGAAAAGCTGGTCATAACGCGCGAACTTGTCAAGAAGTTATAGATATATCTAGTTCGTCAGATATAGAGAGCGATAATTAATTTAATATATTGTGGTTGATTTATTTAGGTGTAAAGTTCTGTGCCAAGAAAAAGTGATCGACTCGGTGATATGATCGACTCGCTGATAAACCACGTTATATAAGAAAGATAATTAGTTATATTTAATTTATATTAATGTCTTGTAAACAGCTATGACTATATAAGTTGTGTTGTTTACTAAAATACATGGTAGAAATTCGGTACTGTAAACAAATTCGGCTACGCTCCTTCCCCTGAATTCGGCTAATTTCTACAACATGTAAATACTAAACAACCATCAACAATAGTACAACACTTTAGAAATACGCATTCAAAGAGATTTTTATGCTAGAGAAAAATATTTGATGTTGTCAGTAATTAGCTAATTGAGTTTTGAGGTTGTTGTTGTCCCGATTACCGTAGTTTCTCGCTTACGCAGACCTTTTCTTTGAACTCGCACGCAGACTTCTTGCGATAGCAGCGAAAACAACACACACACACACACACACACACACACACGCGTGCAAACATACAAATACATTCAATTGCATCCTCTCGGGCCCTTTGGCACCACTTACAAACGTTTCCGCCCCTCACGCCTTTTTTCATCTGTTTTTCGCGCGGTTTCGCCTCGCACCACCACCACTACCACCACACCACACCAAACCACACCACCATGTCTTCCGCCGGGACCCCATCTCGCCGCGGTCCCCGCTGGTCTGCGGAGGAGACTGCCAATTTGGTACGTGCGTACCACGGGGTGGGTAGTCAGAACTACGACCGCCCCCAAGACTGGGTGTGGACGAGAGTTGCGGTCGCTCTCAACTGCCTCCCCAACCCTCGTCGCCAATATACGGAGGGTGGGTGTAGGCAGCTTTGGGAACGGCTGACCGACGAGCAGAAGAGATTGGAGGAGGAGGGGGAGGAGGAGGAGCCGGCACAGGGTCGGTCTGGGGATGGAGGGGATGGGGTTGAGAGGAGGGAAGAGGAGGGGGCCCGCTTGTCGGGTGATTTGGGCAGGGAGGGAGGCGAGGGATGGGGGCGATGGTTCGGCCGCTGAGGCGGCGGAGGNGAGAGGAGGGAAGAGGAGGGGGCCCGCTTGTCGGGTGATTTGGGCAGGGAGGGAGGCGAGGGATGGGGGCGATGGTTCGGCCGCTGAGGCGGCGGAGGTAAGACTTTGGTTGGATGACCTACCATTGATGGGGGAGGCGGATTTCTACTGGTTCACGACGAATAGAATGGGTTGACGGGTTTGCGGCGGTGGTTTCCTGTTTGGTTTGGTGCTGGGAGTGGGCGGCGGGGACCAGTGGTGCGGGATTTGTGTTGATAGACTTTTTTCCCCCCATTACTTGGGGGGCTGTTTTTGTTGTTTGAGTATTTTCTTCTCTTGCTGAATTTATACTCTTCTCCACTCATCTGTTGTGTACATCAACGTAGTACGGTATTCAAGTGATTGAAATATGGAAAGAAAACATATGAAATGTAAGGAAACGGTGGGTTGAAGACTCATATGTTTGAAGAAGGCACGCTAGAGATATTTGCGTGTGCAGTCGATAGGTTCAAAAGAGAGCAAGGTACGATAGAAGCCCCTACAACGGAGCTTCCCAAGATTCCTTCCGATCCATTCCAGTATTGACGTAGGAATATTTCAGACTTCTGCTGACAAAAACTAGAACTGATTCGAGTGATTTAGTCACTTCGTCTAACTGTTAATATAGTTAATTCAGAATTCCGTATCTGTGTTATGTGTTGTCTATATGTGTATAGATTAAGACACATGATAGTATGTTCCTCAGCAAGATCTCTATTCTAGTAACTGAACGACACATCCATTTGGAAAACAATTCAAGTAAAATTTTACATATACACAGATTTCAAACAACAACAGAATATAGTTTGCGGTATAATCTATAAACAACTATATTGTTGTTGCACCAGCATATAAACTGTCGATAGATTGTGCTAATCTTATTGGTTGATAGTGCTTTACAGTGTAAGTAATAAAGTAGGAAAGCCTTAAGCACACTTATACAGTCATTATATCACTACAGTCCCGCGATGTGGCGAGTATAGGCTAGCCACAACTGCTTTCTTCAACTCCTTTCATTCTTATCAGCCCTCATGACTAAACCAAAAGTTGCTTCTTGCTCATCTGCCTAACCTATGCTAGTTAATTATTCAGGTCACTCGATTTACTCGGCGGAACATGAAATTTTGTTCCTGAACTGTGTGTTACTTTGTTTAATACAGCTGCTAGTTCAGTCTTTCGAGAGCTGGCCAACCTGTGTTTGAAACATTGACTAACAGACTCTTGAGTCGCATTAGTACTTATTGTGACATCAATTGAACATGTGAATACTTACCATAAAAATGGCGTTTAGTTTTAGATTTCTCTAATTGGACAAATACAATAAAGACAAAATGGAGAGATTAGAAAAGTAATGCTACACGAAAGGTACCTATGCAATTTGTTGCCATTAACTCACTCATTCTTGGCACTCACTAATACTGCAGGTTGGTGACATTAGCTTGATTGATTAAGAACAACTACCTAGTAAACAGAATACAGCGCGTGGTTTTATAGTACTAATGGGATCAGAATCCCTAGATACGGTAGTACTCTGTACTTCCAAATGCAGAATCAATACACACTCAATTGTTTGCGGGCCACTTGTGATTATTTCCTCCCAAATACTGCATTTTTTATACAGAATAGAAGGTATTGCGTGTACAAAAGTGGGTAAGAGCTTGTTATTCAATGGGCCAAAAGGCCAGCTATCTCTACCGCTATCGAGCTAATATCCCCATCGAAAAAACTGTCCAAATAAGAGATGGGGCTAATAGTGTAATACTCCAAGGTATGGCACAACTAACATGTCCCAATATATTAATGCAGTCAGGCAGATCCTCCATAGCAAACAAATGGCCAAATAAGAGAGGCAAATAGTCCAACACATATTCCAAGACAGAATGTAACAAGTATGTCCTCATAGAATATTACACTTTAACAGCAGCGGACACGACCAATGCTTGTTTCGTTGTTGTTTCTGCAATCGACGCTAAGCCCTTCTTCATCAAATAGCCTTTTACATGATCTGGGGGTATTGAATCGTGCATCTTGTGGACCGCTTGTACAGCAAAATACAAAATTTTGTGGGGCATTGCACGGAGTTTTGGAATTACTCGGATACGGATGCCCTATGTCCTCGCAGTGATTGGGGTTGAACGTATTAGAATCAGATTGTGCTGACACAATAGCCATAAACTGACAAACTGCCACAAAGAGTGTCGTGGAGATGCGCATTTTGAGTGTTGGATCGGGTACGCAGGTCGATTGATATGGTGAAGGAGCGTGCCAAATAGTGGGCTTGAATAAAAGAGGAGGTAAGTGAGTCTTATTATCCTTGCGGTATTGTAATCGTAATCGGGTACTGTAGTTGGAAGTTTTGAACGATAGAGAAAGACTGAAAAGAAGCCAGTTAGAGAGTGTGAAAAATTAATTATCTTCATCAAGGTGGAAAGTTGTATATTATTATAGTAAGTTGTGGTAAAATTCGGTGTCTGTGCACGGTATGATTTACATTATTCAGCAGCATCATCCTAGCTTCGCTTGTAAACTGACTCTCAATGTCCACTTTACATGAATATGGTCATCTGAAAATTTGATCTAAAACCTTAAGATCAGACGCATCCAAAGTTGCGAAACAACTCGCCTTCAGGTTGCTCTACTCAATACATTCGTAAGGTAAGGAAGGCATCCCTATCGTTGGATTAGGCCACTAGTAGCCAAATTACGGAAGCCACATATTTACTACTACTGTGCCTCTACCCCAACACCATTGATCCTACCATCAAGCTTTTTCGTTAGATAGGACCTTCGTCATTTATGCGATTGAACACCTACGCACCCTTATCTACTATCGCATCCTTACCACTTCGTCCCAGGCATCATAAAAGTTACCCTCTGAACATATCCCGTGAACTCAACTTTTGTGATGCCTAGGACGAAGTGCTTCTACGAAGTCAGTACTATGACCCCCGATTCACAAGATAAGTGGCAGTCTTGGCAGTGGAATTTTATACTCATAGACGCAAAACTGACTACGCCAAGACTGACACTTATCTAGTTGTTTTACAATCTCGATTTATAACCCATTTATTTTAAAAGACGCTATCCCCTCAACACTTAATATGTACATAAAGTGGGAATAACTTTAAATGTAAATCGAATGCGAGGTAGCCATTTGAACTTATTTCAGATACTAGGGGCCTAAATAGGTAGCCCGGTCACCAAAAACACTTAAATCGATCATAATATGTAGGTTTTTACAGAATTGATGTTTTTTATATTTAACAACACTCGGTCCTCTTCTTTCTCCATAACTTATAATAGTGTTTTTAGCACGGATTTTGTCTACTTCTTAGTTACTCTCGGAAGTTTATAATTACAAAAATCCGTGGCAAAATCACTCTATTATCTCTAAGCCAGGAATCCAAGATTACTGCTGTCGCCCTAATTTTGTTTTTTGCTACTTCCACTTGCTGCACCATTGTATACGCTGGCTTTCTCCATGGCGCTCGGGAGAATTTTTGCGCTGTCGCTAACGCAATATGCCCTGTGATTTGTCGGTGTCACACCAGCCTCTGCGCCACTGACCGTAGACGCTAGTAGCGAGGGCGGCTTATTCAGCCAGGTAGTATTCTTCACTTAGTTAACAACAGTGGTAACTAGAATAAGGGTCACACTACCATTCAATAACTAAAACAAGCGATCACACTTCTACGTACAACAACATAAATTTGTTAACCTAAACGGGATTCAATTCGAATATTTTAGCGAGTGTACACTCAATAAGCGAATACAGGGTTTCTGAGCTTTGTATATTCTGGGGGTACGCTACAAAATGGAGTTTAAATCTACGCTTTGAGCCAAACCGGCCATTAGACTTGATGCCTAAACCACTATGCTTAAGGGCAGTCCGAAGCAACAAGATTAACGATTTAGGGACTCTCGCATACCAGCTCAAACAACTCCGCCCGAACCATGTCCTCCAAGCTAGGCTGGTCTTGTAATTTGGGATCTGTCTCGGTGTTAATATTGTGGCCAGTCTCGAGTCCCTTAAAAACTCGAATCTGCCGCTCAAGCTCAGCATTCTCTTGATGAAGATTCCTGATATAAGTATCCCTACCCCGAATGGCACTTTCCTGGTCCTTCAATTTCATTGTCAGCTCAGCAATATTGCTTTGATGCTGGGTAAAATCTATGACTTCAAGGTTGTTTTCCAGCTGACGCTCCTGCTCTATGTTGGTGATATAATGGCGGAGTTCATCAACCTTTCTTCTTTCCTGCCTGATTTTATCAGACTCATACTTCTTGAGAAAACTGCCAAAATTTTCGAATAAAATGTTAATATGCGGAGACGATGGACGTGCACCACACTCGCAGACATTGAGAGCTTTCACCTCTCGGAGTTGTTGAAGCCCCAGGACCTTTTCAAGCATTTTGACCAAATTGTCATGTGTTTCATCAATATGCCGACGAGGATATATCGGAACATTTGGGTAGACCGAATCAAATCTGTCAGTCTCGGAGTGCACGCTACCTTCGGAGTGGTTGTGCGATGACAAGCTCTCACCTGAGCTGCTATCCTGAAGATACATCTCTGAAAGGGCCTCCTCGTAATTAAGGAACCCTTCTTCAAGCTCCATTAATGGAGAACTGGCGGTACTATCATTGTGGGCCATGGTATTCGAGGAACTTTGGGTTTGATGTTCTTAATGGGCGTATTTTACTGTATAAATATGACTTTTGTGCAGAAAACTGGCGTTCGAAAGATAATATAACAGGAGAGTTAGACATCTTGGGAATATATAAATTCCGAATTCGTAATATTGTTCTGTTGCTGTTCCTTTGCTGTTTGAGACTCGGTGCTATAATAGTGGAAGTTTCCTTGCCTTCGTTTATTGTTAACGATCAAGGACAAAGAAGTCTCAGCTGTGTCTTTTTGGCATTACAAAGAAGATCTGAGACTATGTAGACCATGTCTTCTTTTCCTAAACAAAACAATTTACTTTTGTGGGTTGCGGCATACGTATTAGCACGACGGTTATTGGATTTCGTTTACATTTTAGAAAGTGGAATAGTATACATTATAGACCTCCAGTTCCTTTGATTATCTCACGATCGCTTTCTTACAAACGATATCTGGTGAGACACCTTTTTTGTTCACTTGGCAGGAACCTTCAACAATGGCTTTATTCAATTTCAGGGTTTTCCAAGTATTTGAATTGTGCCGTAGTACTTTGAGTCATTTGTGCATGTGATTCTGAGTTCAAGTTCTTTTGGACTTGGGATGATATTTGAACAACAAATTCACCATTCCTACTATGAGGTTCGTTTATTCAATCATAGCTTGGACCACTGCACGTTAATAATATCATCGTTTTGAGGAAATACAATAACGTGTGAAGCTAGAATGGCACACGCTAAGACCACTGCGATAAAGATGCTGCATCAACAACACTTTCTACTTTCCATTCCTTAACTGATATTAATTCTTGAACTCCTTTCCCAAACACCTACCCGCAACTGTTACGAAACCAAAGCCTGTGTCAGAATACCTCTCAAGAGTCGTTTAAGAACGAACTAATCAGCACAATACCACACCATCGCTGAGTAACTATCATGTCAAATTTTAAGAATAGCACAACGAACCTGCTGCCAACAGGGAGCAACAACACAAAGCGCCTCCGGATGCCTTGGACCGCTGAAGAAGACGAGTTACTCCTACGTTTAGCAAAACAACAAGGCCAATCCTGTTAGGAATGCGGCCAAATTTTCACATCCTCCAGCGATGCCTATGTCATGCAAAAGGAGATGGCGGAATGTTGCCGTAACAACAAGCCAATCAGAACATATACCTCACAAGGGCTTCGCCGTCGCCTCCAGGTATTGGAGATTAAGCATATCAAGGACACAGGTTCAGGATACGGTTTCCCTGACTTTACAAATGAAATTTCCAAAGGAAATTACATCAGGACCGAATTGGGCATTAGCGAGCAGAACGTTAAGAACCACCACCACAACTGGACAGAGGAGGAAGACCAGATTCTCATGACCAACTACATGAGGGTGGGTCTGCGATGCGAGAAGTGCGGCCAACGTTTCACCTGGTATAGCGCTGCTTATTCCATGAGAAAAGAGATGGCGAAGTTCCATCCGGGCCAGAAGCCAGCCAGAATATATACCCCTTCAATACTTTGCAGGCGTTGGCGACGGTTGAAGGGAAAGAGTGATGTTTCTGAAGACGTTGCCTGGCAGATCTACGAGTCTTTAGAAGGTAACACGCAGATTTCAGAGCAAATTGTGGAGGATGAAGATGTTATGGAGATTTTAAAACAAATTATAAAGGATGAAGATATTACGGAGACTTCAGCAGCTCATCGAGGAGAGAGAAGGGGCGGCAACTAATGGCACATGATATTGGGTTCCTATCTTTTACTTGGAGGTTGGTCTTGGGGGCTCTGGGGGGCATCACATTACAGTTAGTTCCTTCCTCTTCATCTTGGTCAACGGCACTCAAATTATTCACAGAAGACCGGTGGAAGCTCAAGATATGTCAGCTTGAGGGCCATCCCAAATTTGTTATTTCACCACATACAGCGATGCCTGTCTGAGCCTCGTCTAATCTCGCCAAATATGCTGTATCACAGAAATTACTTGATACATTATATTAGGTTCCACTCGAGAATGAGAACAAGAGCAAACCGAGCAAAGTCCACTAGTACCAGAGAGTGATGGTAGCCGTATGGTCACAAATAAAGGGATCTTCTTCAGTGGGTATACTTTGTAATTAGAATATGTTCCTCAATTCTATTATTTCCCCCTGCTTCCCTATCAAATGCAGCATGATCAATGATAATGTAGTGAAATCTAGAGAAAAGGGTCAACAGCTTCACCTGAATTTGACCTCAAACTCAAAATGACTCTATTTAACGTACAGCTTATTCACGCCTCTAGCCAACTAGTATAGGTCCCATGATATCTGAGCCCACTATTCATCTATTGTGTCCATGAATCACTCTGACTTTAGGGTCACTGATGCTACGGTGACTACCCCAAACCCTGTTATCCACGTAACAAATGATCCGATGACTGAAGCTTGACGCCTTCATGAACTTCGGATTTATTGAGTCACCTCACTTTGTAATCTAATCGTGTTAAAAGAGTTCTCCTACCCCAAAATACGTTCTAATGATGTATTGACCTATGTTCACTCAATATCCTAAGCCATATTATGGCTTGAACAGAAATACCACAGATATATGTTCTAGTGATCTAAACTACAAGTGAAGTAAGAAAATAGAGAAATGAACAGTGAGCGTATGCAGGTATAGGTCTCCATAGTTGAAAGCACGTGATATAATCTTGGCACAACAATTCCAAGGTTGGGAAGCTCTACTCAAAGTGAAAATCCAATATATAATAGAGATTTATTCTGGTTTGATTCGCAAAATAAAATAAAACCATTTTTCTACCTTTTTATTCAAAGAAACTTCCGTTCAAAAGACACACTAGATGTGCACAATACTCAATCGTTGTTATTGCTACTGTAATTATTTGACGTTCAGAATGCATGTGGTGGCCTGAGTGGCAAAGTCAGGGGAAGTTCGGTTATAGCCGACCATGCAAATTTTATACACACAAAAGGTAAACAAACAGTCTTAGCTCAATAGAATACAACGACAAACTCCTGTTTGAGGTAGAATAAGTTCAGATAAATTTTTTGATATATCATCTTGTTCATGGAGGGTATCATTGGTCCAATTACTCAGTGTTGACGTTTGCTGAGCCTAGGATGCGTACTTGTGGTTTACAAGGGCGTGTCAATCCATCGTAATGCAAAGCGATCTCAAAGTGGTTCATCGGCACTGTTATTGAAGGCGAGGCTGTGTTTCTAGGCTGAAATATTGGCGGGCCACCTAGTTTATTGATCTTGAAGACAGCTTGACCAATAGGCGCAGAGTAATGATACTTACCAAAGCCGAGTATTTACACCACGGTAGACTTGACTATACGGCCACTGCGGTAGGTTCAGAAAGGATAGTGGGTTCTCAATTTCGTTTATCTGCTCAAGAGATTTCGAGGCCACCCGATAGGGAAGATGCCCTAACACGTGCTGCAGGAGTTCGCAACTGATCAAGAGAAGCGCAGCCCCTGGTTTCCGATCGCAGACCTCTCAGTTGGCTCAACTTATCTATCTGATTATTTAAGTGGATTTGGATGATTGAGTTGATGTTGATGTGTTGTAATGCGAGCGTTGGCAGTCTTGAAAGGCCAGGCCTGGTAACATTGCAGTCACAAATTCCTGCCTCCCCTGGTACGCGCCTTCTTGCCTCACTCCACCCCCACTCCATCGCAGAGACTTCCTGAAGCAACACCAAACATCAACTAAGATCAAACCTCAACCACTTCTTCCATCCCATTTGTCACTCCACCTTGTACATTATGTCAAACTTGCGGAGAGGAGAATTGCCGTCTAACGGCAAATAAGATGTTCTACTTCTCTCGATCCTTCTCTCTTGGTTGATTGGGATACTGGCCTTGGACGCTGCCGCCAGAGGCAGTCTCTTCCTTCAGTGTTATCGATCAAGGCTTTGCCACAATCTATTCAGAATCAGTGCGACTCTGCCGAGGACTTGAGAGATTTCTGCCATAGACTCCATGGAGTTCTTGCTTCCCTGGACCCGGTGGTCTTTCAACAACAATAAGGGTCATTAATCGCCTCCCTTTCAGCGTCTGGTCTCTATTAGACCGAACCTTGCGCCGCTGATCTCTTCCAATTCTCAATACCATAAACCTTGCTACCCCTTCCATCTGCAGGAGAATTCGACCCAGACCCGTTCTCCTAGTTCCAAAAGCACTCTCTTGTGGCTATCAATGAGTGTCCACTTACTGCTCCTCAGTGCCGAGCACTATGAGCATCAAGCCTCCCGAATAAACGACCATTTGGTAAGTGTATCACTTCCGTCCATTACAATCATCCTAGACGAACCATTGAGCTAACCTTGCCATGATACAAGCATCTCCAAAAGCATAGATCGAAAAGAAATGCCCAACCATAGTCAAGTCCCAACGTCGAGTCAGAGGTACATTCACCCTCAATAACAAGACTACAGAACCAAGTTTAAACAATCAAACGATCTCGGGAGAGGTTGGTTTCCCCAAGCCGCACGGGTTCAGAGTGCCCAGAGGGATACGAAAAGTCATCGGTGGAAGGCAACTCGAAAAGTCGAAGAGGCTGGATTGGGTACGTACTTTCGCCACCTATTACATCGATTTTCATAAAGTAGCACACCAACTTGAAACCGAATTAAGCAGACAAATTACACCACCAACTAAGAACGGCCATGCACCACAAATTATACACCCCCGAAGAGGGGTACAGCAACAAAGAAACCCGCTGCCAGAGGAAAGGGAAGAAGAAGGCTGCAGAATCAGGGGAGGAGGCAGAGGTTGACGAAGAGATGAAGGGTAGGTACCAATTCCCCTCCCCTTTTTCTCTAGCGTGTGAATATGGAAATTGACACAACACTTTTCGCAGAAAAAGAAGAAGAGGATGTCTAAAGAGCTTCCGTCGTTATCGGGATTGAACTAGTCGTCGTCTTGAGTCCTCATGTTTTGAGATGATTCTTCAGTTGTTGGTTTGGTCTTGGGAAGATCTGAAATTCTGCTGAGGGAGAAATCACTATGTACAATTTGTTAGACTTGGATTGAAATACACAATAATGTATCTCAGGCGGGGTCCCGGTCCTCGACCACTTCTCTCGTGATTCCACCAAGACGAGAACATAGCATGACTGCCTGACAGTACCGCTTTTCAAACTCCGCCGCCCTTTTTCGTTAACGCCTCCTAGCAACAGCGGATTAACCATGAGGTCCTCAAACGTTCACGGCAACACAGCACTTCAAAATCCTGCTCTGTTTCCAAATAGGATTAGACTCTTACCATCGTTCAATGCGGCATCAAGATGGCTATTGTTGCGATGCTCAGTGAGGCCTCAGCAAGAGAGCAGTTAAATTTCGATCTGCTTCTTGAGAACGACCATTGATCTGGTATTGCCATATTGTGGTATAGCCACCTGCTGCCACCAGGGCTTCCGTTTTATTCGCCAAGCTTTTGCCAACAGACGGACTATATCTTAAGTGATCACTCTCACCCACCTCCGTCTATTCTCTGAACGTTTCCCTACACTGGACATGGTTGCGGATTGTTCAATGTGCCATCTTAGCACGCTCTGACGATACCCAGGTGGCTTCAGGGGCTACGAAGGTAGACAAGAAGTCATCTGCAACGAGCATCAATATGTCGGAAAAACCAAGTTCGTTACCACAAGCTCTACGAAGAAGAAAAGGCCAGTCATCCAAGTTAACACGTGTTGAAGCATTGCTGAGCCCTTCCACATTTCACAATTACAAAGTCTTTGAATAATGTCGACCTCGCTTAGAGCTTTTCAACTCTGGCAACGGCGCTGAGACATTCAATCTCAGTATAATAGTCTCCCGCCCTGATCGGCGACTTGAATCATCGACACGCTTCGTCCGCCACTATCACGGTGGGGGAGCCCCGTTCTTGCCCATCACCACAAGCGGTGTCTTCCAAAGTCGAATCTGCAATCAAGGTGACGTGCATGATCCAATGACAGCAGAACAATATGCCGAAGAGAAGTTTGCGAGAGAGGTCTGCCTAAAGAGATGATGGGAGTGGTCTTTACTCAAGTTTGACATCTAATCGAGGACGGAGCCCCGTCAATGTCTGTCACAGTACAGGAATTCTCACAATTCCACCTGGCGATGCGTTTACACGCGAACGGCGCTCGTTTTTCTTCCTATTCCACTCCCCTCGGAAACAAACAGAAGAAGAGCACAGCTTGCGAAAGTGGACACAAAGAAGATCCAAAAACTTCAAACTTGGCCATGCATCGTGGACAGTTCAGAGAGGGGAGCCTAGATGAGGAGCGTCCCGTTTCTAAGAGTTTCATTACGTTTCGCCATAGTGATGATGCCTTTGCGCCAGCTACTGTCTGTCACTGTATAGGAGACTTCGTTCCCTATCGAATCCTCCGACAACTGGAATACCCCGAGCAAAGTGCGAGGCAAGAGCTCTGTGGTCACTGCCACCAGACACATGGAGAAGAATCTCTAGAAGTCCATCAAAAGCTAAAATGAGATAAAGAAGAACCTCAAAGAAAGAAAAAAGCATTACCAGAAGTAAAAACGGCAAAAGATGCTACCAACTCCCACTAAATTGTATAGCAAGGAGCAAGTCGCTCCTTGTTGGTCGACATGAGTTCTTTTAGTTCAAATTATAAACCGTTTCTGGAGAATAGTACTGGTGGATCACGTGCTAGAGCTGAAGCCTTCTGGGGAGAAAAAGGCGACTTTCTGAAGGAGTTGGTAGGAAATTGGGGTAGCCTCAAGACCGTTGAGGATCCTGGTAACCGGATATCTCCGTGGGCTGTTCGTTTGGCCTGTGTAATGCTCGAGCATTCATCCTACGAACATTGCACCACCTCGGTCCTCATTTCAACCAGTCACCTAAAGCCTGCTCGGTTACAGTAGCAATTTGGATCCTCTCCTACTCTCGGCTCATCTTCGAATTCTGATCCTGTTTTCAATACAAAATCACAGCTTCGATCATTTTGCTAACTCTTCTCCGAATTGTGGCCATATGTCATTAACTCGTCTTCTATCACCTCTAGCAACGATGGATTCAGTTCTCTAGTGGATATCTCATGAATCCTCCCCTCAGTATTGTGAACCCGCACCCGATTTAGGCATGGTTCACCAATCTTCCGGTGTTCGAGGCTACTCCAAAGCCAGATACAAAGCAAGTGCAAAAGATCAGGTCGCAAACAACAGCTCCACCTAAGCCAACACCAGAGGCTCGCGGCTCCCCAAGACGAATCTTTCAAGTCGTTGAATTCGCGGAGAGATTTCTTGTACGACGATTCTGATATACTCTTGGCAAGGAAATGTTGTTCGACCATTGGATCGAGGTTTCAGCTTGAATTGATGCTGGGGGAATCATACCCTTGATTAAACTATATAGCCATCTTGCATCTACATGTAAGTTCGCAATGTTTTCAAAATACAAGCTGTATGCTAATCGTTGGAGGTAACCAGAGGGAGAAACCTAGGAAGCAACCAAAACTCCTACCAGCTGATGTTTCACTCTACCCGTCAGCCTATGCACATGTTTGCTTCAACACATCACATATACACCAAGGTTCTTCGCGGCTCTCATTTGCTTTACTGCACGATATCAGGTCTAAAGCCGACAGTTCATGAATCATGCCCACAATAGCGTGCCCTCACAAAACCCTCTTGCCTCTACATGTAAGTGTCCAATATCTACGAATTATAACGAACGTGCATGCTAAACATTATCAGGGAACCAGAGAACCAGAGAACTAGAAACGAGATCCCAAGCAACCACCAGCTGATGTGTCCGCTTAACGGTAGCCCATACGCACAGTGATTAAAACGCATGACATGCAAACCAAAGTCCTGCGCGGCTCTTATGTTTTGCGGTCTCGAAAGACTGGTCAAGTCAAGTTCTCGTTGCGTTCCTCTACCTGGTCGTATTGCCTGGAGTTCCGCCACCATCCAGTATTCCTCCAGGACTTTTCCCTACCCCAAGAACGGCCTTAGTAGCTCTTACCTTCGGATCGGATTGTTGACTATTTAGTCTTTACCATACATAAGTTTCGAGACGCAACAAGATAGAAGGGTATGTCAGATACTACAAACATCACTACTCCGCCACTACATCCCTACATCTCAACACATCAACTACAAACCAATCCACCAAAGTCCCTTACGGCTCTCAGTCTGTCATCTCCCTACAAAACTTCTCTGTTAGTGCACCCCCAAAGGTCACTTCCAACTCTCTGGTTAGTATCATCGACAGCAACGTCATGGAAGACCGGCACTCTGGCATCACCCGAGAGACCGACGAGCGTATTTGGAAGGCGAGCAAGTCCGATATAAAGACGGCCACGATCATAGACATTGATTCTCAGTATCAGACAAATGTTCAAGTCGAAGATGGCCGTTTCTTAGGTATAAGTTTCGGGTCTCGGAGAGTAGGACTAGTTGAAATCGTCGGACTTGTAGACTTCTTCATCGAGCTACATGCTCGTTTTGGTGGATTATTGGCTGAGATGTGTGTTATTCTGTATGTTTGATTCTTTCTGGACGTTTTACTAAATACACTTTCCTATCTTCACAGCTAGACATGGTCAAAAACTTCTGGTATATATACTGTATTCTAACTCTCGCGGCCAAGTGATCTACCCCACTTAAACTGCTAAAATCAAATTCCAATATCGTACCCACGAATCCATAACTCTGTACCATAGTGAAAAGTTACATACTCGAGATTTAACCTCGTTCTCGTGATTCTCGTACCTACTACTCGTAATATCGTAGAAAGATAGAAAAACCCCACTATTATTATAGTACGAGTATCCTTAACTTGTTAAGATGCGTATAAGTACTCACTACTCTATAATCTAGTACTGACATATTCCATAAGAGGCTCTAGTCTAATTCCGGAGATTTCCAGTCGATAGTCCGAGCCCGTGGGTTAGAGCATAGTAAACTAGCTTTTCTCTCTATACAGTACTTACTATATCCTTACATTATATCCTCGTTCTAACATCCGTTATCACGCTATAGAAGAAAAACGACTTAGGAATCTGAAGATCATCTTTTGATATTGACTTCTCAGCCACCGTATAGGAAAAGTAGTCACCATAAATACATCACTTCTAAAACACAAACACCGCCGATCTTCTCCCTACCGTACCGTCCTCGATTCATCTTTCGGAATCCCCATAAGTAGAGCCAAAAAGTCATGATTTCTGAGATTGATTGGTAGATTACAAATTTCGCTACACCCATATAGAAACATACTTCACTATAAGGATTTCAATGCTTGTATACTCCGAGGCTAACTAATGATGCTTACAAAACTATATAAACACAAGTATAAGAATAATACTAGATATATGACAGAAGATAAAACACTACATCAAATAGGCTAGATACTACAAAGAACAGAAGGAATGAGTTAAAATGCTGAAAGACGCCAAGATCCTTCGCCGATGCGCCCCTGCCCATCGCTTCCTCGTGTTATGGGAGAACTTCTCGGCTTCTCCTGTGGTCGCACCCAGGCGAGTTGGGTATATACAGCTTTTATATCGTACACTCGTAGCGAGTCTCTTGGTATTTTTCGAATGGGCATCGAGAAATGGGCATTTATTATCGAGGGATACGATAACAAGCTGACCGCCTCGCTCAGCAAGGAGGTTGACAGACGCCGTGTCATGCTTTTCGCAGCACGACAACTCTCTGCTATGGCAACAGTATCGAAACTGGCCAGTCCCATACCCACTTCAAACAGCCGATGAGTCGGGTTCCTCACCACCAAATGTGCGTCTCATTGGCCCTCGGATCGTAATCTCCATCCCTTGCCCCCCTCGTTCCACACCTCAATGTCGCCTCTCTCTTCTGCATATCAAAAGTAATCTCCTTAACCATAACCCTCCTATCAAACTCCACCACGGCTTCGTCCATACTCCCCAAACCATATCCCAGATACTCGCCCATTCCCTCCTCTTCAATCTCCATGATCCATTGCGCGACTCTACCACAGAGTATACTATCCCACATTCCTTCTCTCCTGGGACTGTTTTTTAATAATTTGATGGCCTCTCGTCGTATTTTCCGGTCGCGACATTTAGTAGCAACGACAAATAATGGTGGGACGATGCCTAAATCTAGGGCGAATGATGCTTTGATATGTGTATACGAATCCTCGTCTTGGAAAAGACCTGGTTGTTGCGAGGTAATCCCAGGAAAGTGAAAACTATTCGTATGCGGTTGACGATGTTTGCAACTCGACGGACTTTCACACCTTTGTTGCGCAAGTGTCAATTCCTCATCCACAACTACCTCTTTCCCCAGCTCAACAATGTCCTTAAAATAAGGGGCATAATGATCGAAATCCATTTCCGATGTGCTGAATCCCATCAGAAATAATATCGAACTCATAAGATGCGTCATTTTGAGAACAAGTATTCCCGCACGCTCTGTATTTGAAAAGTTCGGTCCACGACGGCCCGCAAGCAGCTGTTCAAAAGCACTAGCCCAATTCGCTAGTTGTGTACGAAATCCACCTCCCTGTGATTTGACTTCCTGGGGGAGGATACCATTGGGACCGTGATAAAATAATGACATGGCCTCCAAAAAGCGCATACCCCGTGCAACGAGCGAATCTAAAGCCGTCCGTGCTTCTTGCAGAGTCCTAAAAGTGCCCGGGATGATGGTATCAAAAGAACCATCATGAGAACCAGCGTCAGAAGGAGAAGTAGGTGACTGTGGAGTGGTCGGATTGGTGGCTGGTGTTAAGCGAATGACCCAGGGGTGTGGAAAGTGAAAAGCCATATCATAAGATTTGGCCTGAATCGCTAGGCGAGTAAACATCTGAACCAATTCGTCTTCGACAACATCATTCCGCTGTCTCACCAGTGGTTGTCGTCTATCCTGCCGTCGCTCTTCCAGTAGACCGAGTCCATGCTGGATTTGGGTAATGGCGGAAGTATGGTTTCCCGTAAATGATTCAAAACAAGTGAAAAGTACCACGGATATTAGTATAGTTCGTTGTGAATTTGTTTCATTGTTCGTCATAGATTCTCGTAATCTTGTAACGGATTGTGCGTATTGTTGCAAGGCGAATCTATAATGGTTTGGAGCTGTGTCAAATGTATTATTATTATCTGGGGATCCCGGTGGCGATTCCGATGCTTTTTCCAAGGTTTTATAAAGAGCACCTAGTGCTACCACAGCATGGCGAATGGAAGCTTCTGCATGACTTTCTTGCAGCACACTTCTTGTCCAAAAGTCCGAATCAAAGAAACCTGACAATTCGTTGGCTGTATGTGTTCTAAAGACTTGAAAGTATTGACCTTCTTGCGAATCGAAAGGGAGAAAGTCGGTCATATAATTTTGAGGTATAAATCGAACCACAGGCGTGGTGGGAGGAGTGAGTCTGGAATTTTGCTGAGGGAGTGTGCGTGTAGGTCGTCGAATAATAGATCGCAAGTCTGGAGGGTTTGCGAAAGAGGTAATGGAATGTGATGGGGGAGATATTGAGGAAGAATCAGGGCGTGGAGCAATTAGCGCAACCTCGCCCGGTCGTTTGTTCACAGCTGGAAATCCGTCGCATTTCCTTCCCGACCTCACGCATTTCGTACATTGTGGTCGCGTCTCGTCACATTTAACTCTACGGTTTCTGCAATACGCTTGGGTTAGTGGCTATCAAACTTTAAATGGCGGCATCGGGACGGGAAGCGGGAGGTATCGTGGAGTTCGGACCAAGTGCTCATGACCACTTACTTGCAATTGGTGCAACCCGTCTTGACCTTGGGCCTGCTTGCCCTTTTCGATTTTGGTTTGGATTGATCGCTGTTCGTATTTGTGTCCGGCATTTTTAAGGGCTGTCGGAGACTGACACTCACACTGACACTGATACTGACCATGCGGGGTAGTGAGGGCGCCACGGGGTGCTAGATGGTCTGGGGAAGCTGTCAGAGGTGTAGTGAGTGAAGCTGTCGACAGATCAGTTGTGGAGTTGTGAAGAAGCTGGTGACAATTCGAGCACGAGAGCAGAGGAAGAATCGGCCAAGGTCATGATGGAGGAGGAGGAGGAGGAGGAGGAGGAGGAGGAAGAGGAAGCAACAGAGAAGCAGGGCGCGGAGGCAAAAATGGAATGCGACCGAAATGGATGACAACGGCAACAGCAACAGCAACACAAGTCAATCACACGTAACACAAGGTGTTCCTCTGCTGAATAAAGCCAGAGCAGAGTACAACTATAAGCTTGTGTTGCAGATGCGTAGAGATGGGATGGGGTGGTCTGGAAGGTAAAGGTACAGTAGCGGCATGGCAGCGGCAGCTTTGGTGGGCGATCAGAAGCCGCCTGTGGGATGCCGGCGCCAGCCCTGGACTTCCAATTGCACTCGACGGAAGGGGAAGGATTTACAAACCAATCCCAACCTATTTTTGACAAGGATGAATTACAACCAAAAAAGGGATGAAAAAAACTTACCTTGCTTCAGACAATTTCCCTCTTCCACCAAACCGAAGCCGAGGAGCTGGAAATGTGTTGTGCAGGTGTTGGTAAGGTGTAAGTGTAGGTCCGGAGTACTGTTGCTAAGTATATGTGCTGAGGCTTCGTTTAAAGCCAGGTAGCACAGAACGATTCCTTCGGCACGAGGAGGATCAAGAAGCCGCGAATAGTTGCCGAAACCAAAATGTCGTCCTTTTTATCGTCGCTGTTGCTGTTGGACAGGTTCCAGTCCTGCATCAACCTATCCAGATCGAACGAGAGCCAGTCACTCGAAAGTCGAGATATCTAAATTCCGACCGGCAAGAAATAAAAGATATTATGAGATGCTGGCAATGAGAGTGTATAAGTATCGTATTAGGGTTCATATAGCCGAATCGGTGACGAAAGAGTAACTAAGTACGTACTCGAGTACCACCGTATCAATAACCGTCCTGTTGGTGGGAAAACGGAAAACGGCCCTAGCGATTCCAGAAACAAAACAGAAACCGATTTCTGGAATCCAATGATGATGTGCATGGCAGGATCAACAAACTCGAAGGATTCCACCATTATATATCCTCGTTCCATGCTTCCCATTCCCTTCTTCTTCCATCTCGGTCCCTTTTTGGGTCTAGCAGGCCACCAACAGCCACCTTCGAAAAGTGCTGCAGTTCCGTTCCACAACTCCACAAGCATAAACCTTCTTCCCCACGAAATCCAACACAGCCCTGCTGCACCTTCACCTACTACTTCGAAGTAGCACGGACGTAAGTAGACCTTCTACACCTCCTCCATCCGCCTCATCTCCTCGCAAGACATGGTCAATCTAGGAACGACGGACGGTGAACGTTGCACCTCTTCTCTACACGCACTTCTGCACCATCATACACTTTCCGCATAGTACATCCAAGGGATTCCGCATCTCTACCAATCTCCTCCCGCCGTCGCTCCACAGGGCTGAGGAGATCATCTCCTCTCATATGCTCTGCCGAGGAGTGCAGTGGACCACTCAAGTACCCTGCTTGACATTTAGGGCTGACGGCGAGGTAACCTGTCGAGCCTGTACTCTTGTATCCATATTCTCGCGGATGGACCAATCGTGGTGGGATTCCTAGGTGGCGACGCCGAACATTGTGGCTGCCTTCTCACGGCAGTGAGTACTGTGAGCTTTCATTCGTTGTCTGTGAGATCTTGTTCGGGCTTTTCTTGGTTCTTTACCAACGATGCTTGAGGACGATAGGTCCCCGCATTTGGGGTGAGATGGTTTCGAGATTACTCGTATTCTCTCAAGATAAGGTTTACCTGATATTGAAGAGAAAGGGAGATTCCGACTTACTGTTCGCGAATATATCACCATCAAGCTTTCATTCACGAGTATCGGTGTTACACCAACGAACTCGCTCTGTGGTAATCATCTAAACCTCCAAACTCCATCAAACTCCACTCACTCTACATCCAAAAATCCGGTTGATCAACCAGGCACCTACAAACTGCAAGACATCTATCCACAGAAAAATCTCCTCTTACATCCTCCCATCTCCATCACTCCCCAGATATACTCACCGTCAATCCTCACCTCCTAAGTCCATATATCGCAGCGGAACTCCCAGAAAAAGCCGTTTACTGGCGGTCAAGGTGGGGGTGTGGCTGTGCTCACCTACATGAATGAACAGCAAGAAAACTATACGGACCCCACCAAGTTTACCACACCAGTCCGTAGTTCAGCGTACCGCGGAACTCCCATTCAGCCACAGCCTTGGTGGGCGAAAATAAGACCGAGTTGTATGTATGCAATGACTGCGCATTTTATTTCTTTTGACTATGAGTATTGGATTAACAATTACCGAGTAGGAAACGACGAAGGGGGGAACTTCTACGTTCTACGGCTTAGTAATGTTTATTTTCTTGGAGGAAGGTAGGGTATTAATGTTGTGGATTAGGAATTTATTATCGATACTTATAGCTCTACTAATTACACTTTGGTGTCTTGCCAATTGGAGGGATTTCAAAGGCTCGACCAAGCAGTACGAGTACCAGTTTAGGCCAGCAGATATCCAACAAGAACACATTAACAATCTCAGAAGATATCCAGGAACTATTGGTCAAGTCATGAAGCTTCATACTTACGCTTATGCGAAAGAGAACTGGATCCACCACACAAGCGACTCACCCAAGAGTTCATAGGCGTAAGAGAAGTTCAAAACGACAGTTTTACCACTTGACTTTGAAGGATTATAACATCATTGGCAGCAGCTTTCTAGTATCTCAAATGAATCGTACCTCCATCATGTGTTCTCGCCTGCAATCAAGCTGGATTCTTTTCCATTGGCGCAAGTCCCCAGTCCTGCCCAACGAAAGTGTTGTCACAAGAATTGACATCCTCAGCAGACTGCGAGATGGTAATAGCAATATTCCGGCTCTCCATCTTTCGTATCGCAGTGGCTCGTCTGGGATTGTCGCCCGTCCCACCGCGCCTACCTAACAGCTATCTAGCATCGAAGGGACAATAGGGATTATTAGTACTCGACTACTAGTTACTTCTACGGATCAAGTTCTTATATACATATCTTAGTGTATACAACCCGTCGCCCCGTCACTCTCATTTCGACTAAGAAGCAGAGGATAAAGTAACTACCCAACCACTTTCCAACCCTACTCTACAGCAATATCTATCCTGAATCAAGTTGTCGCTTACTGGTTGCTCGCAAGTTCTCGGTCGGAAGAAATATTAGCTTCAAACTTGAACGCGGGAGTTTTCCATAGGCATGTGTAGCGTCCTGAAAACCCTATGGTTGAACATGGGATTGAGATTATTCAGGTTGTACTGTACTTCCAACAAAGCTGGTTTCTTTCCTTTCTGTTTGGCTCTTTGCTACTCGAGTATACATTGTTATTACATCTTCCGTACCCCGGAAAGTTTCTCAGGCTCCTCCATGCGATATTTAAATCCGGGGTATATTAAAGAGAGATTATGAGTATTGTGAGCAAGTCAAACAATTCACAAATTCTACGCGGTATTCAGACCTATGGGGAAAATACGTATTCTAACCCTAGTACCACCAGGAGTACTTGTGCCAGGTGAGCCAGGATATAGACACGGATTATAACCTGAAAGGGCCTCGTCTAGGATCTTTTGAGCAACGACGTTACCCGAATATAAGGGCTGCTTGGTTGCTTTGTTCTTTAAAGACTTAATACACCCCAAAAACCTCCGTCCCAAAATGTCTCCAGCATTATAATCTTCGCTTCGTAACTTTTAGAGGCTTTCACCCAAAAAACCGACCCAAATTACGTACATTATCCAGATAGTCATCTTCCCGTATGATCCTCTGAACCCCCAGAGCGGCAACCGCCTGCTGCTTAGAATCGTCTGTCTGTCTCCCTCTACCACTGATATACATTGCGTATACTTGGTGACTTAAGTCTCCACTCGTCCTGGTACTGTACAACAATAAAACCAACGGACAATCCTAACCAGGTGTCCGGGACTGAGCTTCAAAAATGGTGTATCTACTGTAAAAAGACGTACCACAATATTACGACTTGTAATTCATAGGACGGTACAAACAACAAGGATAATCCACACAAGAGCGAACGGTTCAACTGAGGGTGTGGAAGTGGAAGGAGCGCACTTTGTACCTGTTGATATAGAGATATCTGGGATATCGAGGTAAAGAAATAGGGCACAGAATATTCAGTTGATTGTTGTCTCTTTATATTCTTAAATTATATAGCGAAGTTATTAAAGCGCTGTCGGAGTAAACTATATAACGCGGTTTAATAACTATAGTAGAACTAATAGTTTATAAATAAAGTTTCGCCTTTTAATTAGTTTATATTTTCTTTACTATAGGCTAGGAAACTAGAGGATTGTTATGAATTATATAAGATTTTATACGCTAACTATAAATAGTTAGCTTAATAATATTAGGTTAAATCGTTCTTTAGAAATAAATAAAACGTTTTAAAGATATACTATATATCTCTTATATTACCTAGTGTAACTTTTAACTAGGATTACATACCCTCGTGTAACGAATACTCAAACTGGCTAACTAAACTTGGCTGGGTGTTCGCTGGTTGGTATGCTATGATAAGAAGAAGACTATCGGGTTGTTCACTTGGAAGTGAACTCGTTACTTGTATCAAAGATGTCGAACTAATATGATTAGATTGATAACTAAGTTGAGCACGAAGCTCCTATCTAGTGGCAGAAGTGCCAGTCTTATATAGAACCTTCGTCTCTCCTGGCGCTTGAAGGGAGCCCAAGATCCTCAAGCTCCAACCGAAGCTCCTGCAAGCACATCCAGGTTTCTTATAGCAAATAGGGATCGTTTGGAGTAGCTAAGCGATCCAGGGATTTCTCTGTATTGTTATCACGTGACCAGTAGTGGTCGCTTGGTCGCGGCGACCAGCAGCGATCATGGGAATGAGGGTTCTATATAGGACTGGCACGTCTGCCATTAGATATGAGCTTCGTGCTCAACTTAGTTATCAATCTTATCATATTAGTTTGATATCTTTGATACAAGTAACGAGTTCACTTCCAAG